CCGGACGCTGACACTCGGAGGGCTCCTCCGGCCTTCGTGCCGGGCGCTGCTTGTGGGAGGAGCTGGCCGCGTTTTGAACGCTCGCCAGACCCCCTCAGTTCGCTGACGGTGGGCGCAGCTCAGTTCTTAGGACCTGCCCCCGGCTGCAGGCACCGGCACTCCCTGAGCGAGCACTGCAGACGCTTCATAAATCCCAGAAAGCAAGTGCCACCACGCCGTTCGGGACTGTCTACCCCCGTTGCCCGTGTGCGGGAACAAATGAGTGTGCCCGCCTGCCCGCGTTCATACACTCGGCACACACACACACAGGCACACTCCCGCCTAACAACCCCCCTTAAACGCAGACCCCTTCTTTACTTTGAGCGCTAACTACCTCCTGGGCTTTGAGTTGCTGTGTCTTCGCTTTTGCACTCCTTCTAGTCACGGAGAGGATGCATTAAACACACACACACACACACACACACACACACTCTCTCTCTCTCTCTCTCTCTCTCTCTCTCTCTCTCTCTCTCCAACAGACTTGTTCTTTCGAAGGAGATTGCGTAACGAGGTGGGGTAGTAGTTGGTTGTAAATCACTTTTAAGTGCGATGCTGTTCCTGACTTACAAGCCCTTACAGTTGCAAACTTGGTTGGTTGATTGCTTCCTAGAGCAAACTGTCAGGAAAAATAAAACCTATTGTGGAAATATTCTATCAGTAGCCAGTCGAGGATTTCCAACGTTGTACCCTGCCCTGCCCATATCGTTAGATTTCAAACAACTGGAGCAAGCTTTTTATGATTGGAAGTCATAGTTCTCAGGAAGTACCTCTTAAGCATCTTGAGTGCTGTCGGCAAACAAAGTGTGGAGTGGAGTTTGACACTACTTCGCATACATTAGTATCCTCAATTGTAGTCTCTACTAATACTGTCCAAGAAGGAAATAATTTAAAAGTTGGTGCTCTTGAAAGAACCACTTTCCTCGGACTTGTTTCTCTGCAGCCTGTCAGGGCATTCATTAATGTCATTTTATGACAGAGGGTAGCTTGGGAAAAACTAAGGCTTACAGCTGTGACATTTTCTTCTTGAGCATAATGCCAGTGTGCCTTGGACACAGGAACAAATCAGCTGGTGTTAACCAGAATAATTGGAGGTCTCTAACAAGTTGGTACTCTTTGTACTTTAAATGAAGCACAAAATGTGGACCCTTATTCTCTGGCATTTGCTTTTTGCTGTTACAGAGTTTTCAGTTATGCAGTAGAAAGCGCAAAATGTCAGTGGGGATGAAGTACTAATTGGTTGTTGTCAGTTAACAGGATCTGCTAGCAAGTCAGATGACATCAAGTCTGATACTGATTGAGAATTCTAGCAGACCTAACATATACTCTCAACAGTTCATAGTAAAATGCCAGCACACATGATCAAGTTCCTGTTTGTCTTCTAACTCATCAAAATGTAGTTCACACAGACTTAGCGTGTATTTGGTACAGTTTAAATTTAATAGTTTTTAGTTTGTTTCCAAGTGTTAATTATTGATTAGCTGGACTCCCTCCCCTCTACTCTCTCCTCATCCCTATTCCTTCTTTCTACCACATTGGGTACTGAATTGAGGGCATTGTACAATTTTGGGTGAGCACTCTACCACTGAGCTAGGCCTGTTTATAGGATTTTAATGTGGATAATTGTAACTTTGTAAAGCAACAACTCGTGAAATAACATTTACTAGCCCTTCTGGAGGTGGGAAAGAGCAGAAGTGGTCTGTTTGATTAAAGAGTTTAAACGTTATCTAAAACTGAATCAACTTTTGCTTCTCACTAAGTTTATTTGGACTTTTTCATCTGCAAATTCGAAGAAAAGTCCTAAGTTTATGGAGTAAATATCTGTTTATTTAGTATATCATGAAATCAAAAACTTCCTCCACTTAAGTCAAAAGTATTCAAAGATTAGAATATATAGAATAGTAGATATTCTCGTCTTTGGAAGGAAATGAACACAATTAAAATTTACTGAAATTTGGTTAATTAGTGGTAGTAATACATTGAGGCTTGGGTTCAGAAAAACCTTGGGGTTGGGGAATCAGAACAGAGGTCCTGATTAATAGTGTTATAACATGAATCTTTATTTCTAAAGTTTCTTTGTTCATAAAACACATTTGTACATTTTCCAATCACAGTAACCGTGAGTGTGTGTGTGTGTGTGTGTGTGATATTCTTTTTTTTCTTCCTAAATTGTGTGTGTTGGATGGTGGTAGAGGCCAGACAAGGGTGTCAGATCCCTAGAACTAGAGTTTTAGGTAATTGTTAGATGCCCAAGTGGGTGCTGAGAAGCAGGAAGTGCTCATTACTGTTAAGAGAAGCAGGAAGTGCTCATTACTGCTAAGCCATCTCTCTAGTCCCTTAATATTTCTTAAGATTAATCCATACCAGCCTGGCGTTGGTGGCGCATGCCTTTAATCCCAGCACTCGGGAGGCAGAGGCAGGCGGATCTGGTGAGTTCCAGGCCAGCCTGGTCTACAGAGCGAGTTCCAGGACAACCTAATCAATAAGAGAAACCCGGTCTGGAAAAAAACAAAAAAATTAGTCCATACCAATGTGGCATATCTGTGCTTGTGAAGCTTTTTAGTTCTTTTCCTTTCTCCACATGAGGTACTATTAGTGCTGTTTTACAGTGGAAGACTGCAACACAGCCTAGGAAACCTATCCAAGGTCACACACAAGCATTAAGACACTTTTTTTTCTTTTTATTTCGTAAACCATGTCTGGACATGTCCAAATTAAAATAGTATTATCAATCCTCACAGCTAGTTGCATTTCCATGTGTCACTGAACAGTTGGTATGTACATATGTGTCATGTTTTGCTTCCAGAAGTAACAGTGATCTCACTAGCACATGCTCTCTTGTACTGGTTGGCTGCCTTGGGTACCAGTGAGATGATTGTGTAAATTTTTATTGACTAAATAATGATAATACTGTCAGTTTTTCTGATTAAAGGTTTTTCTTTTCTACTATATATTGTCTTTGGGGGAATTTGGCTTTTTGTTTTGGTTTGGTTTTTTTGGTTGTTTGCTTTGTTTTGGGGGCCAGTATTGAAACCCAAGCTGGCCTTTAAACAGGTGGTGATCATCCTGCCTCAGTCTCTGGAGTAAGGATTATTCATATCGGGTACCACACCTGGCTAGCCTTTGGATTACTTTTAGCTGCTCCAAAGTTCTAAAGGAATGAGGAGAATCTGTCACTTGTGTTTTGTTTCCTTGTAGATATCTGCAGAGCAATTGAACTATTGGAAAAACTACAGAGGAGTGGAGAGGTGCCGCCACAGAAACTTCAGGCTTTGCAAAGAGTCCTTCAGAGTGAGTTCTGCAATGCTGTGAGGGAGGTGAGTTAACATGGTTTCTATTTCCTCATTTTAAATTAATTAGCTACAGAAATACACTGAAATCTGGATTCAGAAATGCAGTACAAAATAAACTAGAGCTGGGCATGATGGCTCGTATCTATAATCCCAACACTTGGGAGGGTGAGGCAGGCAGGAAGAATTCCCATGAGGTACAGGCCAGCCTGGCCTACAAAGTGAGTTATAGACCATCCTGCCTGAAAAAAAGATAAGAAGAGATGTGGGGCAGGGAAGAAAACATTAGAACTGGTCTTGGCTCTCATTTTTTTTAATCTTTAGCTGGGTGTATGTCTTAGTGGTAGATTTTGTACATGTCTAACATGTATAAAATCCTGGGTTCAGCTCCTAGTACCACCACCAAAAGAGAAGAATTTCCTTTGTATTCCTAATAGAAAAGCATTTACATTTTACAAAGCTGTCTTTGGGAAACCTTAACATGTTTGTTAACTCCTCAGAGAACTTGAACATAGATATATCCCAGAACTTAAATATGAAAACTTTGTGTTTTACAGGTGTATGAACATGTTTATGAAACTGTGGACATCAGTAGCAGCCCTGAAGTGAGGGCTAATGCAACTGCAAAGGTGAAGGTTTTCATTGCTCAGAAGTGGGGCTGGGGAGATAGTTTAGTGGGTAAAGTCCATGTTGTGCAAGCACTAGGACCTGAGTACAGATCCCCAACTCCCAAGTAAATGCTCAGCGTAACATTGTCTATAACCGTAGTGCCCGGAGGAGTAAAGAAGTGGGTATCCTGGGGGCTCACTGCTCAGTGAGTCAGCACACATGTGCTCACACAGAGACACACAGGCTGTCTAGACGTGTGTGTGTGTGTGTGTGTGTGTGTATGTATGTATGTATGTATGTATAGGGTATATATGCAGTACAGAAGTCACAAATTGAAGATTTTACATGCAGTTACTAGATACATAGTAAGCTGTGAAAACTAGCTTATTCAACCTATACTGTACTTCTTAGGTACTAAGAAATAGCAATGTTTTATTGACTTTGTAAGATATTTTGTGATACTGTTTAGATTATACATTGAAAATACAACAGTATGTATATCATGCCTCTTATTCCATTCAGTGCATTATATGGATTTATGGTTATAACATTGATTTCATAATTGATGAGGGTGACTTTCTTGTTGATGAGGAAGCATCAAAGTTAGACTACTTTCCTTGCACCACACAGCAATAAATGAATGGTAATCCTAGGGACACTAGGGTAAGCCCTAACATTCTTTTGGATTTTCCCTTGACTTTGGTCCTGTACATATTGGATAGTGTTGGTCCTAGGCCACCTCCTCTGGGCTATAGATGGCATATTGTGTGTGTGTGTGTGTGTGTGTGTGTGTGTGTGTGTGTGTGTGTGTGTGTGTTTTGTTTTTAGCCAGTGTTGTTTTCCTCAAATAACTCAGACATTGAGCTAGATGTAGATCATGTTTGCCTAGAATATGTTAACTTACACTACATGTACTTAATAGGCAACTCTTTTTATTTTTATTTTATGTACATTGGTAAAATACCTTCATGTACTTCTGTTTGAGGGTATCAGATCTTAGAGTTAGACATTTGTGAACTACAGCTTGTGTGCTTGAAATTGAAGCCAGGTTCTTTGGAAGAGCAGTAAGTGCTCTTTAAGCCATTTCTCTAGCCTCCATGCAGGCTATTTTTTATTGCTAATTACTGGTTCACAAAGGAAGTACTAGAGTCTTCATTAAGTCCAGGTACTTAAGTGTGTAGGTTTCCTTTGTCAAAGTCACTGAATCCATAGAAACTTGGGGTTTGGGGAGGTGTGTGGGTATAGTTCAGTTTATATAGTATCTGCCGAGCATGCATAAGGCTTTGAGTTCCCTCCATCCTTAGCACCACATAAAACCAGGTGTGGTGGCATATGCCTCTGATCCCATCATTTGGGAGATAATTGCAGGAGGAGCAGAAAGCTGAGGTTATTCTTGGCTCCGTAACATGTTTGGGCCAGCCTGGGCTAAATGTTGTTTGGGGAGGGGATTTTTTTTTACAAGTTTTTATCAGCATACTTGCAGTCCCAACACTTCAGGCTGAAGCTTGAAGATGAAGAGTTTGAAGCTAGCCAGTTCTTTAAAGGTTCATGCTTCACCTCCAAACAGCCACCCATCGCCCCCACCCCACTGCAAAGAAATTACTTTTCTCTGATTTCTGTAACCCTCAGAATTTGCAGAGCTTTCGAGCCCTGGTTTTGGATATTAAATGGGGTCTTTTTAGTGCATCAGAGATAGTCAATGGTATTCAGTAAGTCTCAACATCTTTCCCCTTCCTCCTCCTCATTTTTGTTTTTCCATTCAATATCCATAATGAAAATGGTGCCTTTAAAAGGGAAAAGAAACAGAATGTAAACCTGTGTTAGAATATAAGTAGACATAGTTCTATCTCTTCTATTTCGTTTTCTTTTTAGTTGTAGCTAGATATTTTAACTAAAGCAACAAAAACATTCATATGGGTTATATATATCCTTCTTTATCTGAGTATTGAGTTATTTCTTGAGGTTTTTGTTATTTAGTATTTGGTACAAACAATATAGCAGCCATGACTTCATATAAGGACACATTTATGTAGGTAGGTAGGTTGTGTCTTGCCCAGGAGCCCCGAAGGAACCAGTCTATATGCTCTGAAGTTCAGGGCTGTTGTCATCCTCAGGGAAGGCTTCCCCTCTTAGTATCTACACATCTGCAAGTCTTCTTGACCAGCCCTGTGCACATGTAGCACATATTTCTGAAGTTTACTTCCTACATCATCTCTGAGTATTTATCATCGTCATTTATCTTCTGCAAACATGTTTGACTTACAGTAAAGTTGTGAGAGCTCACAAATGAAAAGCTTTGTGGTTCAGAAGTGCCTTTGGCAAGCTAGAGATCACATTCTTAGCATATCTGAGTCCCTGGGTTCAAACCCCAGCTCCTCAAAAATAAGTTGTGTTCTTAGATGTGTGCATTTCTTTTCCAGGCTACTGTTGCTGCTTTTGCTGCCAGTGAAGGGCACTCCCATCCCCGAGTTGTTGAGTTACCCAAAACAGAAGAGGGCCTTGGATTCAATATCATGGGAGGCAAAGAACAAAACTCACCAATCTATATCTCACGGATAATTCCAGGTGGAATTGCTGACAGACATGGGGGTCTCAAACGAGGAGATCAGCTACTTTCTGTTAACGGAGTGGTAAAGATAAATCTGTTTACATTTGTTATATGCAGTAATGTGTTGTAGCCACTTGGGGGTGCACTGGAGCAATCGAATCAGAAGATGAAAGGGGAAAAACTTCTGAGACTGAGTTGAAATCCCTTGAGAGAAACCCAAGTGGTACTGCTCAGTACAGTGTTGTGTGGTTGTTTTGATTTGCTGGTGATAGTGGAGGTTGTTGTTGGGCTGAACACCAAACTCAGAATGCCAGGCTACCACTTGACCACTGAATTGCATCCCCAGCTCAGTACTTTAAGTGCGGCTGTAGATTAGCTTTCACAGACTGAATTGACAGCTGGGGAACCTGCATGGGACTGAACTAGACCCTCTGAATGTGGGTGACAGTTAATGTGGCATGATCTGTTTCGGGACTAGCCCTAGCAGTGGAACCAGGACCTATCCCAGGTGCATTAACTGGCTTTTTGGAACTCGTTCCTTATGGTGGGATAACAGGGAGGGGCTTGGTCCTTCCACAACTTGGTCTGCACAGACTTTGTTGACTCCCCAAGGAAGGCCTTATCCTCTGAGGAGTTGATGAGGGGGAGAGCCGGAGAAGGGGAGGGAGGGAGAACTGGAGTTAGTATTTAAAATGAAAAACAAATTTAAAAAAAAAAAAAAAAAGGTGTGGCTGTAGAGCACTCCAGGGTATATCAGCAGTGCTCGGAGGAGCTAAAACTGTATAAATTAGAAATAAACCCGCATTTTACTCGTGAGGAATGGCAGTTACTTGATCTACTACTGACCTAAGGTGTGTGTATATTCCTAGAATATGCACAAATGTGTATCATAGGATTTCAGATTAAAGTGATAAAATAAGATTGTTATTTTTATAGTGCTGAAATGATGTAACATTTAAAATTTTTACTTGTGTTTTAAACATTTTTACAGGTTGGATTACTTGTTAACTGTTTCTTTGTGTGTGTGCATTTTTTCAGAGTGTTGAAGGAGAGCATCATGAAAAAGCTGTAGAGCTACTGAAAGCAGCCCAAGGGAAGGTTAAATTAGTTGTACGGTATACACCAAAAGTCCTGGAAGAAATGGAATCACGCTTTGAAAAAATGAGATCAGCAAAACGCAGACAACAGACCTAATCATTTAAAAACTTTATGTTCCTCTTTGCTTTTAGCTAGAAAAGTTTTACTTGTGACCTACTGATGGCCTCGATGCCAGTGATTGTAAACCACCAGAAACTTCCGTGAAATCTTCTTGCCATTTTATAAATGCCTATTTTAGCATCACTTACGGTTGTAGAGAAGCATATACTTTTTTTCTCACGAGAAAAAGTAAAAGGTGATGAGGGCAGTTCTGTCCTGCTGTTTTTACAGGCCTTTTTCAAATGCAGATTTTGTCACAAAGTTGTTATAGATTTTTAAAAATGCTTTTTTAATATTAAAATGTACTTTTACATTCTTAATCTTTTTTTAAAAAGAGCTTTTCATCATTTGGCAACTTATTTACAAATAACAGTTCTCCAATATTTCCTTTTGCTTACTGCAATTTCTTTGTGAAATTTCTTTTCAATTTTCCAAAATATTAAAACTAGCAGTCTTTCCTTCAGCAGTTTATCCCATTGAATGTTGGCATTGCTGCTGCATTTTGTACTTAGAACATACATAAATGTATCTGTAATCAGTGGTAAATCATTGCTATCATGGAACCTTTTTATCTTTATTTAAACAGTGTATAATGTATTCATTTATACTGATTTGTAAAAGTAAGTTTTTAAACACTGAAGCAATCATTGCTAAATAGGTATTCTTTCATAATATTTAAGCAGTGAATCAAGAGGATGTAATTTGATTATTAACATTACTGATTAAATCCCTTATTTATGTCATAAATTATAAATGCAAACAAGCTCAGATTTCAACTTTTCAAATTTGTTAGGCTATTCATTTATATTTAAATATATTTCTCATATTTCAGTTCTTCCATGCCTAGAGATGAGGTAGTTTGTGCTGAGAAAAATGAAAATAAGACAAAGTAATAACTTAAATGTGGAGCCTGAAGAGCCCAACATAATTAGTGTTCAGCTTCAGTTCTAATTCGAGACAGGAAGAGGAGGCAGGATTTGTTTAAGATACAGAAACAGGCAGCTTCTTAAGTCTCACAATGAGTGGGGTTCAGAGTGCTTCTTATCTTTATGATTCAGATAGCGATGGGAGTCTGAACAATGCTTTTTACCATTTGTCCACTGGATGTCACTATTTTACTAAAAGGCAGCTATCGATGTGTGATTATGACTAAGTCTTATAAAAGCTGAAATCAAAGTTGATTCATTTTCAGTCACAGATTATAAGAACATTTATAAAAGGTTGAGGTGATGATGTTAAGAAACTGATGGGTTGAAATGCAGGAAATTATCATAATTATGACTTTATTACCTTTATTTTTTTTTAAAAAAAAATGGGCATTTTGTAACATTCCTTCAGGAAGAATGGAAGTGTGTACACGGCTTTGCATGTTTGTGAGCACTGTCAGTCTTACAAAATATCTGTAGCTTTCAGTGGTTTTCAGAGTAAAAGTCAGCATTGTTATTTATCATTTAGGAATTGAACACTGGATTGTGCATGGTTGAATGTCTTTAGTCCACTACAAAATGTGCTTGATATTGATAGCATCATGTTGAATTGTATATTTTCAAAATTAGCTGATGTGTTTTTAAAATGTTGAGACCAAAGTAGTATAGAAGAGTATGACATATTTTAATTTAATTGTAAGATTATTAGAGGTATTTGTAAAACTCTATATATTAAAGTTGGTGCATATAGAACAGTAATATTATTGTTGTGCTCGTATCCCTACATCACAGGGCAAGTACACCCTGGGGTCTTGTCTCAGCCTAGCTACTATGGCTACAGTTGCTCCTCAGTACGCATCAGCGTTCCGTTACAATTACAGCCTCCTGGTTCATGTTTCAGCGATTGCAGAATTTCAGCCAAGTTACATTTTTTTTTCTTTTTTTAGTTTGTTGAGTAAGCTTTTTCTTCTGCAGTAATTCACAATCTGTTCTTTGTGTGGGCTGCTACCTATTTATAATTCGTAAAATAAAAGTAACTTAAAGGAGCCAAATACATAGCTTTGCTTGGTACTATTGAGCATGATTAGAAATAGCTTGCTTTCATTGATGAAATTCTCATATCTCAGAATTTAAATATTGACCATAGGAAAACTCGGTGGCAAGTGTACAGTAGTCTTCTTGTATAATAAGGAAGTGAAGGAATTTTAATAAATGGATGGTTTGTGAATAAAACTAGGCACACAGTAAATATATAATAGGTGTTTTTATTTCATTTGTAGCTTACAAAAACAAATTTCCCTTTGTCCCAGCTTTTCATTTATTTTCTTAAATATTTCAAAATGAGTTGGCTGGGTGATTCTCAACCTTAGCTGCATGTTAGAATACCCTGCAGAGCTTAGAACTTACTGATACCTAGGTCCCTTCCAATAACAGCTAAGTTGAAATGATTTCTTTATTGGTTAACAGTTTTAAATAATGTATTTTGACCAAGTCTACCCCCTATTGCCTTCAGAAGCTCATTCTGTGTAGTTTTGATGGGACACCCAGGTTTGAGGAGCACTGGTTCATGGGATTTCCAACTATACTGGATCTGGAAGCTACTTAATGGTTGATTGTATTTCTTTAAGTCCTTATGGACTTAAAAGTTATTTGGCTTTCCTTATTTACAAAATAATTATAGTTTACCTTTTTCAGGGTGTGGGGAACAGGGTCTCTACATAGCCCTGCGTGGCTGTCCTGGAATTCACTATGTAAACACGCTGGCCCTTTTTTTCTTTTTTAAAAAAATAAAACCTACTAATAATTCAGTTGTAAAATTCAGTGTTTTCTCTTTCTGCCCCTTTTACAAAAAAAAAAAAAAAAAAAAAACAAATGATTACAACATAAAAATCTTTAATTTT